ATAACATTGGTTTTGAACCATTAAATGTGACCTAGATGTGTGCCCAAATAGCCAGTGTTATCTTGGTAGTGGGCCATAAAACTATTCCTTGTTCATTCGCAATTCATGGTATGGTTGCGCATAACTTTCTAAAATTTCATCACATTATAAAAAAAATAAAATGTACCCATCAAAGTATGAAGCAATAAAAGGATAGGAATGTCAAGTTGAGGAAACAAGAACATCGCCCCCCACCCAATACACATACATTCATATGGCATAGTGTATTGTCCTAAAATAAGAATTTAAAGCCAAGATACGAACCTGTGGAATTATGTTTTGCATAGCCCACTCAGGACCAAATTCTTCAGCTAGGCGCTTCAAGTTGTTAGCTGCTGCCTCACGGATTGATGAACCTACCATATCCAAAAGGAGTTAATGACAATAGTAATCAGAAATCAAGTATCAAAAAAAAGGAAGAGGAAGCGGGAAAAAAAAAAAAAAAAAAAAAAAAAAAAAAACAAAAAAAAAATAAGAAAAGCGACAAATGGAGTCCACAAACCTTGTCCTGCAACCACTGCATGCAAAGAGCACCAAGCTTATCATCAAAAAAACCAACACCCAATTGACTCGCCAATAAGGGTATATATTCTATTATTGCAAGTCGAACCCTCCAATGCCTATCCTCAGCAAGCTCAACAATGGCTGGTAACAAAGATTGAGATAATAAATCAATTCCAATCACCTGCAACAAAGATTTGATCAACATATCTTGCAAATTTAGATTTCGTTATGACTTTAATTTTGCATGTATATTATATAGAAGGTGGTATAAGAAGATTATATGCTCCGGTATAGAATTAGCAGCATTATTCAAAAAATAAAAAGGAAATAAGGTTGCCAAAAGTTATAAAGCAATTTGCAAATAGAAATCACAGATACATTACAAACCTGATTCACTTGATCAAGCTTGCTTATGATATTTAGGCGCACATCAGGAAATTCGTCCTTCAAAAGGGAAAGGAAAATAGGAAGAAGTTGCTCAATTGTTGCATCCTGCAATTAAGGAAAAAAAAAACAGATAGTCAGGGATAGTTTCTTCAAAGTTTTGGGAGAAGGGTTAAACAACATTGTAACAGCCCTAGTAGTAGAATTAAAAGTATTAAGTCATAACACAGTATAACTAATATAACTCTCCAAAAAAATATTAGAAGTTGGATACCGTTAAAAAGTGGACTTTAAGCCTAACACAACTTTACAAAACCAGCTTGTATGATGAGGTATATAATCACATGTATACTTTAAATTGATTTTATCTCTAGTCGAGGTGGAACTTCTAACACAATCCCCTCATGCTAAGGTATATACATCTCGTGCATAGGACTAGACATTAATAGGTAGTCGGATAGCGACCCAATAGTGGGTGGAATGATATATCCAACAAACACAAATCTCGCTAGGATAGGCTTTAATCCATGGCTCTGATACCATGTTAAAAAGTAAACTTTAAGTTGAACTCAACCTAACAAAACTGACTTGTAAAGTGAGGTATGCACTCACATATACTCTAAATTAGCTTTATCTCTAGTCGATGCGAGATTTCCAACAAATACCACAAAATAACCAGCCAAGTACAAAACATACAATAGATAGTTCATAAAATAAATATTATAAATATTGAGCAATGGTATGCCAAACACAATTCAAACATGAACATAAACATTAGTAGTTTTAACTCTGCACCAGTTACACTTGAGACTAAAAGAGAGAAAAAAATGTTTCTCAAGACTTATTTCAGTTCTACTCCTTAAGCTTACCTTTATAACTAGAGAGATTTGCTCTCTAGTTGTAACCCCTTAATAAACAACTCAAAAAGAAAAAAACCACACTCATACACACTCATACCACTTTCACCCGACAGCTCATACACACTCACCCATAAACCAAGATTCTCACTCCCCCCAGCTGGAGACTACAAATTGTATGTGCCAATCTTGGAACAAATAAACTCAATCCGAGGTCCCCGTAATGACTTATCACAATCTGCACGTTTGTCATTTGATGCAACACCGCATACATATTGCTTTTGCCAATACTTTTTTCCCGAACAAAATACAGTCATTTCTAATGTTTGGGTCTCTCGTGAAAACATGGATTTATGCACTGGTAAGAGCAGTTTGGTTATCACAACATCGTCATACTCTGGATGTCACATAAGTTCAGTTCTGAAGGAACTGCTTCACCCATATAAGTCAATGTTAATGAAGCATTGCCTATATTCATTCACTGTTGATCGAGGCCCACTACATTTTTTTCTTACTTTTCCATGTAGATAATGTTTTTCCTCCCAGGAAAAACACAATAGCCAGAGTAGATCGTCTATCATATGAGACCCTGCCCAATCATCATCACAATATCGGATACCTGAAGCTTCCCTTTTTCTCTTATAACACCCTTGCCCAGGAGGCCTTTTTTAGATACCTTAGAATGCGAATGATAGCATTCCAATGGCCAACAACATGGATCTTGCATGAACTTAACTAACCACTCCACTGGCCAAAGAAGATCCGCCTTTTAATAAGTAGATAGATTAGGTTTTCAACTAGCCCCTAATCTCGCGGGTCAGGATAATAACTCACCTTCTTCTGTTGTTAATTTTTGATTTGGATCCCTAGGGCTAGCAACCGTTCTCCAATCAATCATGCCTGTTTCTTGCAAAATATCCAGAGCATACTTCCTTTGGGAGATTACAACTCCATCTTTTGACTGAGCTACTTCAATGCCTAGAAGTATTTGAGTCTCCCAAGATCCTTGGTTTGGAAATGTCTACACAAGTACTCCTTCAATTGAGATATCCAGCAGTATCATTTCCTGTAAATACTAATCATCAACATATACTCTCAAGTAAACACATTTCCTGGAGACAATGATACTAAAAACTGAATATCGCGTCACTGCGTTTTTTAGCACATCCAATTTTTGAACAATGGATCTAACCTTTCCAAACCATGCACGGGTGATTGCTTGAGCCCATATATAGATCGGTTCAATTATCAAACCATACCAGATCTCCCCCTGAGCACCAAACCCAGGCGGTTGCTCCATAAACTTCTTCCTCAAGATCACCGATGGAGAAAGGCATTTTTGATATCCTTGATGAATTTGCCAATTACGAATGGCTGCCATTGCAAAGAACAATCGAATGGTAGTCAGCTTTGCCACGGGAGAAAAGGTATTCACAATACTCAAGACCATAAACCTGAGTTACCCTTTTGCAACCAGTCGAGCTTTGAGTCTATCAATGTCACCATTCGGACAGAAAAACCCCCTTTAATTGCATATCCCTCACCACCAACACCTTTTTGCTTGGGAAGTGCACAATCCCAAGTATGAACTGTGTCACGAGCCTGCATTTCGCTTCACTAATTGCTTGTCTCCATCCAGGATGATCAAGTGCTTCTTCAACACTTTTAGGAATACCACAGAATACAACTGAGTAAAAGTGAACAAAAAGAGGGCACCGTGATAACTAATAACCTTAAATGGGAATTAGGGATCGAGTGGAAGAGTACCTTTTCTGAGAGCAATGGGCCAACCAGAATCATCTTCACCAGGAGGCGTGACAGGAGATGGTGACAGAGAAGAATCTGAAGAAGGAGATCCACCATTTTCTGGAAGAGGATTATCCATCGGGGTATTGTGTCCAAGGATATCAGTATGTGGAGAGGAAGGTTCGGGAGGACCTTGGGTATGACTTGGATTGACAGAGGTATTGGAGATATTAGACTCAACCACTGGAAGAGGGAGTACTTGGTGGAGGATGTGAACATCTTGAACAGATGGAGAGAAGAAAGGTGTCTGTTCAAAGAAGGTAACATTAGCAGACATGTAGTACTTTTTGGTTTCAGGAGAGTAACATCGATACCCTTTTTGAAGTCGAGAATAGCCCAAAAAGACACATTTGATCGCACGAGCCGAGAGCTTGTCGAGCCCCGGAGACATGTCGTGAACAAAACAAACACAACCAAAGACTCGATAAGGTTGTGGAAAGGAGGGTCATTGGGAAAAGAATGGAGAAAGGAAACTTTATTATTTAGAGATAGGAGGTCATCCTATTAATAAGAAAACATGCACTTAAGATGGCATCCCCCCATGATGACCAGGAAGATGATCACCAAGCAAAAGGGTCGAGCCGTTTCAACCAAGTGTCTATTTTTCTTTCGGCTATACCATTTTGTTGGGGTGTATGAGGACAAGTGGACTGATGTAAAATACCATGGGAGCTAAGAAGTGAAGAAAAAGTTGATGAGAAATACTCTTTAGCGTTATCACTTCTTAAGACTTTAATTACTTACCAAATTGGTTCTTGATTTCATTCAAAAAGGATGTGAAAATGGGTAACAATTCAGAGCGATCTTCATCAGAAAACCCAAGTACATCTAGATCCTCATCAATAAATGTAACAAATACCGAACCACCAAAAGAAAGAGACGCGACTATGTCCCCCAGACATCAGAAATGAATATAGAAAACTAAAGGTACACATTAGATTGAGATTCTTTTAGGAAGACAGTCTCAACTGTTTTTCCTGTTGCATGACACTCACATTCTAAAGGTTCTGAAGACCACTAGTTCATGCCACCTCTTTTTTAATTTGACAAGTTAGGATGGCCAAACCGATCATGGTAACACTTTAGGGGAAGAGCAGCAACACAATATACCCGTTGACGAAATCGCAAAATGTACAACCTCCAACGTCAGATCCTTCCCAATCTGTCTTCCCGAGCCACGCTCCTGTATAACAAAAGATTTTGAATCAACGTTATTGAACAATTTAGTAATTTTGGTTAACTGATTAGGAAATTACATGAATGGACAATTAGGTACAAAAAGAACGATTTCAGAGTAGAGAGGAGACCGGGAAACTTGACCGACTCCTTTGAACAAGTTTTAGAGCCATTGCAAGGGTATTAAATGAGGTTTTTTAAAAAAAAAAAAAAAAAGAAAATGAAGGGAAAGATTTGAGAACATGCGGTATTACCAGAACTAGTGCTTCAGAACACCCGCGTCACTTATACCCATGAATTTGGACCTGCCATGGATTGAGAAATGCAAGCTGTGGACGTACTTGAGGACTGAGATGATTGTGCCAAGCTGTTAGACTTTAAGCGCAGATACTCTTGATACTCTTCCTCAGTAAACTTGGAGTTGGAAGTGGAAGTTTCAGCCTGAGATATATTGGCAGTTTTTGAAGGAAAGCCATGCAAGGAGTAGCAGTTTTCTCGGATGTGACCCATCCTCTTACAGTAAGAGCACTGTTGATTTCCCCGACTTCCACGTCCTCCTCCTCTAGTTCCACGTCCTCCTCTTCCTCGCGTGGCAACCATGAGAGATGGTGCTATTGTTTCATGAGCTTCCTGAGACTGAGGCACAGGAACACGAAGAAGACGTGTGGTTAAGGCTTCCATAGAAGGGACTTCATGACTTGTCAGAAGTTATCTCCTGATGTGATTCGAATCTGGATCAAAACACGTAGGTCATCACCATAGAAATACTTGTCAAGCTTCTTTTTGATATCTTCCGAAGATTCCACTTGCCAAAACATTCTCAATTCTTCCGCAGGGTTTGGGCTTCAGTCATGAAGGAGACCATATCATGGTCTGTCAATTTTGAGACAGGCAGCTTGTTTGCGGTATCATAGAGACGTTGGAATCATTAGCATAAATGCTTTGAGCTTTCTTCCAAAAAGTGTGACATGTCTTGAAGGCTCTAAGAGATATCAAAAGTCGGGGTTCCACAGATTGCCACAAGAGGGCACACAATTGAAAATCAGCTTGTTTCCATTGTTCAGCTATGTCAGAAGGTACTTGACTCCCATCCTGCTCAAGGTGGTCATAACGTCCTTGACCAAGGAACCACATTTCTACAGCAGCAGACCAAGACATATAATTCTTTCCATTTAGCTTTTCGGAAGTGAGTTGAGGGACTTCCCGAGAAAGAAAAACACTTCCAGATTCCATTCTTTGATAAAAACAGAGAGAATCAGCACACCTGAGGACAGAAAACCTAGAGGGTTGCTTAAGGTTTTCTTAAAAGGGGCTCTGGGACCCACCAAAGTAAGATTTTTGAGGGTCCAAATGGACAGAGCGCTGAGGGCGACGGGCTTTAGGGGGCGCGGAAACTGTCTTGTGATCAGAGGGCGGCGCGTGGACAAGCACCGCCTATATCGCATCGCTGCAGGAGAGTTGTCGCTGCGGAGCGTGGAGGAGAATTTCGGGGGCTAACCCACCGGCGTGGTTGCTTGTCGCTTGAAGAGGCGAACCGATCCAGTTGTCGCCGGAACGGAACATTGCGGCGTACTGCGGGGACTGCGGCGGTGGCGCGTGGCTGCGGATTTCGTCGATATCGCCGACGGTAGTACCGGACAGATCATGATGGCGTCCAAGTTTGAAAACTAAATTGGCGTTGACAGCTGCAAATAGTGGCGAGACAGCCGCAGACAACGACGAACGGCACCGGACAGGTGCGACCAGCAGTGACCGTGCTGGTGAACAACACACGGAAACCAGAGCAGGATGAACCCGCTCTGATACCAACTTGAGATCTAAAAGAGAGAAAAAAATGTTTCTCAAAGACTTATTTCATTTCTACTCTTAAGCTTACATTTATAGAACTAGAGAGAGTGCTGCTCTAGTTTGTACCACTTAATACAACTCACACACAACTCATACACACTCATACACACTCACACACAGCTCATACACACTCACCCATAAACCAATATTCTAACAGTTACCTTACACATTTGGCAATGTTGTTGGCCACTATGCGTATAGAGTGCACTAAACTCTGTTGTTGATTCCCATGAAGTAGCATATTCATGTTATGCTAGATTTCAAGCCCATGGTAGGGAGTACATATGTTGTTTTGTCTTGAGTATATCGAAAGTTAATACGTAATAAGAACATAAGAATTTCTTTTTCCACTCCCACTTTTTCCTCGAAACATTATAATTTTGTGAAAGATTAAATCATACATAGACATTCTTAAAATTTAAAAAGAAAGAAGACTCTTGGTCGTAGTATTCTTGTAACATCTTGAAACCGGTTAAAAAATGAACTTTAAGCCAAACTTAACCTCACAAAACCAACTTATAAAGTGAAGTTTGCATCCACTTATACACGTTAAATTGGGCTTATCTCTAGTTGTTGGCAATTTTCAAAATCAATTTTTCTCCAAACTAAACAAATAGGATTGGGTTGGGTCAGTATACAATTTGGTGCTTCTAAACTGAACCAAGGATATATGACTATGGGTTAACAGAATAATTTCTTTAGATAGGTTTTGTATTGAAATATGCAATGTTATTTTATTAATATTTTCGTTTTGTATGTACCCAACTTTAGGGTTTGTGTTTTAGGCAATTGTGTTACCTTCTTTTGTATCCTATATATGTGCAAGAACATAGACACTGTATTTCTATCCATCCTATTTGTTCAAGTTGGTATAGAGTGGGGCTACTATCTCACTTTATTTTCTTCATTGTCTCCATCATCATGGTTTGCCAATGCAGTGCTGCTGTCTGAGACTATTTTTTGATAAACAAAGCTAGGGTTTAAATGTGCCTCAAGGAGTGCAACCTAATCGTGGTGGTCACACAACCAGCCAATCATTCACATGCCGATCTATGTGCTTCTTGTTTGTGGTGTGTTTCTTCCATGCCTTGTCTTGCTGGCGTAGGAACACTTCTTTTTGACTCGCTGAACTCTCCTATCCCCATTTCTGACTTCATTTTTTCTATTCCAACCCACCACCCATGTTGGGGCACGTGCTCAGTTTTAGGGTTTCTGTTATTTGTTCTTAAGTTTCGTCACTTTTCTGAGGTGGTTTCAATAGGCTCTACTCCTTTCTTTTTGGCTACTCTGACCATTACAAGTTCAAGGCTCAATTGGAAGTATTATTCATCTTGGTTTGCTTCGTTGGAATTATGGTTCCTTGGTCAAGGATACCATGACCACTTAAAAACTGAACTCAGCTCTATTCCTGATGCAATCAGATCTCAATGGCAAAAGATCGGCTTCTAACTATGTGCTGTTTTAAGGTAGTTAGTTGAGCCCGACGTTTTAAAGATGCTCCAATCCCTCAAAACATGTTTCACTTTTTGGAAGAATGCACAGGACGTTTTTGCCAATTATATCAGATGTCTATTTGATGAAACTCAAAGCTTCTCATGTGTCTAAATATGTGAAATCAAATCTAAAATCTTTATGAAGAGTACCAAGAAATTGTGGTATATGAGTCTGAGAAATCAATCAATCAAGGTCAGTCCTCTTCAATGACAAGTGTGTCAACTACATGAATTTCTCGATACCTCTTGTACTTCATTTTCCTAGATTTCTTACCCCAAAATTCCTCATCTTGTTACTATTGCCAATGGATCCAAAGTGGCTTCTCAAGGAGTTGGCCCCCTTCACTAAATTTGAATTCTGATGTTCTGATAAGGGCATTCCGGATTGTTGTATGAGAACATGGGAAACATCAAATCTTAAAGGTATTGCGATGTAGATTGGGTTGGTTGTCCCATTGACAAGAGATCTACCACATGATAATATATATTCCTTAGAGGGAGCCTCATATCTTGGAAAAGTAAGAATAAGAGTGTTGGTGCTCATAGAAGTTGAGTATAGATCTATGGTCCTTGTTATATGTGAACTTGTGTGGATTAAGCAATTCCTTCGAGAGTTGAAATTTTTGAAAATAAGCTGATAAAGTTATATTGTGAAAACCAAAAAACTCTTCATATTGCCTCCAATCTGGTATTTTATGAGAGAACTAACATTCAGGGATTGGTTGTCATTTTGTTAGGGAGAAGTTGTTGTCCAAAGATTGTTACTGTATTTGTCTGTTCTAGTGAACAACTTGCAGACATTCTGACTAAATCTGTAAGAGGACATAGGATTCAGTTTGTATGTTCGAAGCTTTGTGAATATGATCTATATGCTCTAATCTGAGGAGAGTGTTGAAATGTAATGTTATTTTATTAATATTTCCTTTTGTATGTACCCCACTTTATTGTTAGGATTTTAGGCAAGTGTCTTGCCTCATTTTGTATCTTATATATACTTACATAAATAAGAAACACAACATTGCAAGAACACTGTTTTTCTATCCATCCTATTTGTTTCAAGTGTTTTTAAGTTGAACAATTGGATTTGTGGTTTATTTCAGTCCAAGCTTTTTTCTGTTCTCTGTTAAGTCCTTTTTTTACAGTTCCAGAGTAACTCCATATCAAGTTGTTGAGTTTCTCCTCTCCCTTTCCTATGGTCTACAATGCATATTATGATATTCACTTTTAATATAGTATACACTTTACGTTTTTAGTAGATATACCAAGTGTATCGTACAAGTAATGGGTTTTGGCATGTGTGAAACAGGTTCTGGATATGATTAGTAATCCGCATTATTTGTACCGAATGACCGTACTTCAATCCATCTCTCTGCTTGCTCCTGTAATGGGACCTGAAATCACTTGTTCAAAATTATTGCCTGTTGTTATTACTGCATCTAAAGACAGGTATTCTAGCTTTTTAAGCGTGGTTATGGTGTTGGGTAATGTTACTACTAACTTTTTAACTGCACCATGTTTTATCCCCTATAGAGTACCCAACATTAAGTTCAATGTGGCAAAGGTCTTGGAATCACTCTTCCCCATAGTGGATCAATCTGTAAGCAGCTAAGCATCTCATACTTCTATTGTAGTATAATTATAAACCTTACTGTGCTTTCTGTTTCTATATCTGTGTTCGTTCTTTTTTGTTTTTTGCTTTATTCTGTGAACATAATTTTCATTTAGGTTGTGGAAAAGTCTATCCGACCTAGTCTGGTTGAGCTCAGTGAGGATCCCGATGTTGATGTAAGATTTTTTTCCAATCAAGCACTTCAGGCTATTGATCATGTCATGATGTCTAGCTAGGCTGCATTCTTTACCACGCATTAGATGGAAGCCTTTTGTGGAGATGTTAATGTTTCCACCTATCGGCATTCTTGTGTTCTACTTGGGTTCTTCTCAGCGATAGTTAAGTGGTTTTGTGAGCTACATCCTAGTCAACAACGATTGATATGGTTTTGTTCCCTTGTATAATTTTATGCTGATTGTATCATTACTAGGTTCCTTTTGTTTTTGTTTTTGTCGTCAGAGATTAAATTGCTGGTCCTGTGACTGCTAAAATAGGACTCTATATAGGTTAAGTTAAGTGTGATCAAATCTTAGCTTGTAAAACTGTATTTTCTGTTAGTTAATTATCTATTTTTGCAAAGAGCAAAAATGGCTCATTGTCCCTAACCTCACCGTGTTTTCTAAAATCATACAACGGATGAAAATGCTCTGTAACACAATTTTATGCCCTATTGGCTAACCCAAAATAGTTCCTTTTTGGATCATAACCCTTTATGTCTGCAGTTATTTTTACTCGATTCCTACCAAATGTTGGGGTTATTTAGAATTCATACTATTTTTTTAACAGACTAGGACTAAAAATATAAATGCAACGTTATCAAATTCGAAAATATGGCTATTTTTTACATGTGAAAAGAAATTAACTTATTCAGACTGTCTAACTAATAGCATAAAGACCAAGAAAGTTTATTAACTAGTGCTTCAATTTATGTATTAAGTCATGTAAATACTTAAACTGGTGATTGTATTTTAATTAGACCATAAATTTTTAATGGTTAGATTAGAAATNCTTTTGTTTTTGTTTTTGTCGTCAGAGATTAAATTGCTGGTCCTGTGACTGCTAAAATAGGACTCTATATAGGTTAAGTTAAGTGTGATCAAATCTTAGCTTGTAAAACTGTATTTTCTGTTAGTTAATTATCTATTTTTGCAAAGAGCAAAAATGGCTCATTGTCCCTAACCTCACCGTGTTTTCTAAAATCATACAACGGATGAAAATGCTCTGTAACACAATTTTATGCCCTATTGGCTAACCCAAAATAGTTCCTTTTTGGATCATAACCCTTTATGTCTGCAGTTATTTTTACTCGATTCCTACCAAATGTTGGGGTTATTTAGAATTCATACTATTTTTTTAACAGACTAGGACTAAAAATATAAATGCAACGTTATCAAATTCGAAAATATGGCTATTTTTTACATGTGAAAAGAAATTAACTTATTCAGACTGTCTAACTAATAGCATAAAGACCAAGAAAGTTTATTAACTAGTGCTTCAATTTATGTATTAAGTCATGTAAATACTTAAACTGGTGATTGTATTTTAATTAGACCATAAATTTTTAATGGTTAGATTAGAAATTTCTTGTATCATGGATAAAAAGGGTATGTAAATGTAAAATTATTTGTTTAAATAGACGAAAATTAAAGTTTATTTTTCAAATTATATTAATATGTAAATATTTTGATAGCTTTTTATTGTTTAATTCTAATGAAAAGGTTATAAAGGTGTAATTTGTTTTCATACAGAGAAAATACAGTATCGAAATTTTGATGGTGGAGAAGATTATAAATGTTAAGTTTAATGAAGGCTTGCATATTGATAATAAATTTTGATTTGACATATTTACAAATTAAAGATCGAGATGAAACACAAACTTCAGACAATGCTCTAAACTTTATGATGTGCTCTAGATGGAAGGATAAGATCATTGAAAAATAACCTCTGATATGCTTATATGTCTCAAATCAAACCAAGGAATACAGGTAAAACTTTTCAGACAATGACTACATCGTAGTTATGCAGAAAGAGCCCAACTATTTCACTGGAAACATCTAGACTCTAGTTCACCAACTTGAACAGAAGAGTATGATTGGGACTAAACGAGTTTACATAAGCAAGTTAGATGAATTAGGTGATATGAAACAAAGTTATTGCATAAATTAGTTCTTATTAAATCTATATAAAAGGTTAGTAAAATAAAAATAATAAAAAAGATAAAGATAAGTAAAATAACAAAAGATAGAAAAAAATAAAATTATAAAAAATGATTTAAAAGATAAAAAAAATGGTAAAAAAATAGGTTGAGTTTATTACCTTTTCAAAATAGAATTTATCATTAGTTATTTAAGATTATTATTCAATTAATTAATTTCTTAGATTTTCAAACAATCATTGTAAATTCTCAATTAATTTGTCGGTGTTCTTATTATCAACCAAAGTGTATTCTCGATTAAAAGCAAGAACTTTGTAGATTAGTGATAGTTAATTTAACTAAAGTACATTCTCAATTAAATATTACTATGCCTAATCATGTCTATTTTGTTACCTCTTATATCAAGTGAAAGTTAATTAACCAAAGTACATTCTTGATTAATTCTTGTTAAAGATTTTAACATTAATCAAAGTACATCCTCAATTGGTAGCAAAACCCATTCAATGATGAAAGTTTCTAACTTTAATCAAAGTAAATTCTCATGTAAAATTAAAAATCCTTAGACTCATATGATTGATATGTTATGTAGATTTAACACCATGCTTACTAGCTATAATGTAAAAATCATTACTTTTACTTGATTAAGAAGCAAAAGACATAAATAAAAATAAATCAGAACAAGAATAAAAAGAACAAACAAGTTTATTCATTTAACCTCATAATCCAATTAAAAAATTACAACAGAATCAACCCAGAGGCTTATCGCTCCATGAAATGTTGAAATAAATGAAAATAGAATAAGAGAGGGTGGAGAACATGAGAGAAGAGAGAGATGACGAAATTTCAAACCCTTAAAGGGTTCCTGAACACTTCTAATGTGTTTCTTTAAGTCTCTTTATATAGAAATTGGATTGAGCTTTGTTTGAGGTTTTTCTATTGTTGTAATATTCTTTATGATAATGTAATCTCTTCCAATTATCTTCAAGATATATTTGAACGTTGTGGAGATATAAAAATATTAAATAAGATATTTGCTAGATTAAAAAAAGATTTGGCAAATATTATCTTTTGATATTTATTAATATAGTTAAATAAGGAAATTATTTAACAATATCAAACAAATTATCTTAAGATATATTTTACCAAATTATTTTTAATCATAAACCTTTATCAATTATCAAAGCCCTTTTAGTAGTAAAAATAGAGAAAACCACAAGATCCAATTTTTGTTGTTTGTTTCCTTTTCTTGGCTTAGCCAACTTTTTTCACTTTTTCATACTATGCTTTGATTGAGTTCTTGTGATCTCTATTATTTGTTATTCTTCGATTTATTTTTAAGGTGTCATGAAACTTTAATTAATTTATTTTCACATCTCAATAAGCTTAACTTAGTTGCAACTACACTAACACTCCTCAAAATATTCAAAGAACATGCAACTAACATGTTTTTGTATCTCATTCTAAATAAACCCAATTAGAAAAAATTTTAATTAAAATATTCTATTAAAGTACAAAATCCAATTAAGAATCCAATATTAAAGGTTAAATGAGGGCATAAATATGCACTCATCATTAGTCCATGTCAAAGACACTTTAAACTTGTATTTGACTTTTCTTATGCTTTTGAAGTACAGGTTTAGGTTAAATTCTTGCTTTGGAGAGTGTGGGTGTACTTGACGTTAAAGGGCATGAGAGAATTGTCTATATGTTGTAAAAAAAATTATATAGTGTTATTATCTAGTTATCATTAGACAATGGTTGTTGTCTTTCTCTGATTTTGAAATTTTCAGATTATATTCTTGTGTTGATCTTATTTCTTTAATAGTAAAGTAATTCTTAAGGATAAAGACGTTGATGTCATTCATGATGTGTTTTTCCCTATCTAGTTATTAGGAATATAAGTATGAGTTAAAAGTTCTATATTGAATAGAAATGAAGAAATTTGAGTGATATATAAAAAAAACAAGACTCATAAATATTAAGCTTTAATGTTTTATGTTGGTAGTGGTGTCAGATAGCTTATATAAATAACTTATATTTCTAAGGTGATTAATCCCTCCAATCTATCCTAGTATAAAAATTCAATAATGATATTAGAGATAAATTTGTTTTCTATCATGTGAAAGAAACCCAAGATAAAATCCAACTCACTTGTGGAGAAACAATTAAAAATTTAAGTATAAACTAAAAGTCTCATAGAATAAAAAAAAAATTGAATGGTATATTGAAAAAACAATACCAATAAAATGTTAAATCTTAAAGTTTTGTATTAATAGTAGTGTTTGGTGTCTTACATTAACAATTCATACTTCAAAATAATTAATCTCTTCTATCTATCCTAGCCATAGAATACATAATAGTTGAGTTACATTATGATACTATTTATTTTTATTATTATTTAACATTCTAACATCAGTAATACATTATTTACGAGTATATTTTGATTTACACATTCTAAAATATTGAATAATATTAAACTAAATAATATTGAATTATATGTAATCCCAAATATAACACTAAAAATTTTAATTTTCAAATTGTATAATTCGAAAACTTTCAAAATCAATCAATTCAAAGTTTTGCTAACAAAATTACAAGGAAGAATACTTATAAAAGTTTCATAAATAAATCCAGGAAGAAAGAACCTCCATAAAGGCTTCAAGTTTTTGGTAAACAATATTGTTCATACATGAGTTGGTAATTGAAATTTTGAACACCAAGTTTCGTAGTAACATCTGCACATACATTTCTTATTTTACTTAATTACTCTAATCCGTTCTTTTCTAATAATACCTTGTTAATCTCATAATAAACATGTATCTGTTCGACAAATGTCCGTAATATTGTATAAAATCCACTAAATGTCAGAAGAAAAATTATTAACAACTTTGGTCAACTACTTTAAACATTAAATATCAAAATTTATATGTCATTCAAATGTCAACTACAAACTATCTCCCTTACACGCAACATTGTAAGCAACTAATAAAAAATAGAAACAAATTAAAAGAAACAATAAAAAAAAAAACAAAAAAAAAAAAATATATATTTTTAAGATTTTATCTATATACGAAATACTTAACAACACAATAAAAGGGTCTTCCCTTTCAATAAGGGTTTATATATATATATATATATATATATATATATATATATATATATATATATATATGATGAATAGTAAGTTGTAATCCTATTGATTATTTCAAGATAAGACAAATGTAAGTATACTTAGAAATGTTTTTTGATCTAAGCATTTTTCCTGCATTGAACTAAGATATTACCCCTTTTATCTAAATTTTATGTTAAGAGATAAATATGAATCAATGGCTTTTTCATCATGTTTCAAAAGATAAATACGTGTATTTAACCTACAAAGAAGTAAATAGAAAGTATAGACAACGAGAATTGACAAAAACAGATAATGTTTAAA